CCCTGCAAATTTCTTTCAGATCAAGTGAATTATGATTCAAGGAAGCTTTGATCAAAGAGGCGTGCCTAGACTCTGACTATTTTGCTTTGTAAATGCTAACTTTTGTGCCAAAAAATCCAACTGCCAACTATATTTCGGTTACAGGATCAAAGTGGCACAATTAATGATTCAAGGAGCTTTCGTACACAAAAAGTTTATACTTAAAATGAAATAAAAAATAAATCAAAAAGTGAAAATAGTACCTAAAATTCCAATGTCAAGAAAACTAGTACTAAAAATACTGGGTTAAGATAAACTGACACCCATATCAGTATAACTATACTAAAAATACTGTAAAACTGACACGTATCAGTATACATATTGTTAACGCTCGATTTTTCACCTTTTATGCTTGATGATGAAAATTCTTCGATTCTTTAATTAATTTGACATTGGTGGTTTTCAGATTATTTATTTCACACTTTTCTTATATAAAGCTATCTATCGGGCTTTTGTAGAGAATGAAATTATTGGGTTTAAAAATTGTTCAAGGTTAATATTTGCTCATATTAGAAATTAGCTTAATTTATTAAGTTTAGTTTCAGGTTTTGGCTCAAGTAATTAGCCCATAGCCGAGTATAACCATTATTGTTGGCCAACAAATGATTAAAATTAAAGAGAATAAATGGAGCCAGACAAGGAAAAACAAAAAACGTGAAGGCTAAGGTGAGGGAATTAAAGAGAGTAAAAGTCTAATAGAATACAAAGACTAATAGGGATTAAAAAGACTTGATGGTAGGATATAAATAGGAAAGGACGAAAATTAATTCAAGAATCAGAAAAAGGTAAAAATTCTTAAACTCAGAGCATTAATACATCAAAAATCCATAATGTCATGTTATTCTTTAATGGAAACTCTAATGTTCTAGTTAAAAGTAGCTACATCAAAAATCCATAATGTCATGTTATTCTTTAATGGAAACTCTAATGTTCTAGTTAAAAGTAGCTACTATTTATGATCTATACCTTATAAGTGTTTAGACTCTGAGTTCTCAAACTCAACAAACTAATCTATACCAGAGGTATTAGATTTTTCTATGTAGTTTTGATAGAGTTCATTGATGGTGTTCTATTTTCTGAATTAAATCTGATTCTTGTTGAGCTAATTGCTCAAACATGGCTTTGTGTTCTAAAAAACGAACTTGAGATGATTTCAATTGATTTGGTGTTAATATGGGTGAGAAACCTGAGTTTTTTGTTGCTTATTTCAGTGGTATTTGTCCATAAAAATGCTGGAATTACATTCTTGCTACCAGATATGAACTAGTACGTAAGAGGTTTACACACCTGTTATTAAGTCTTATGTACCAGTAACAATTCTTTACACACCAGTTGCTCATTTGTTTATCAGACACACACTGGTACATAAGAGGGTTATACATCTGTTGTTAAGCTTTACGTACCACCAGTTGTTGATTAGAGGCAACATACAATTGATGGTTTTGTTATCTTTATTGTCCTTTTTTTTCTTTTTAATTATTCATTTTGTTTTATTATATTTCTTTTATTTGTCTTAATTCTAACCTTCTAGATTTATTTATTTATTTTATTTTTACAACTTATGTAATTTTATTTGACTTTAGATGTTTTTTTAGCTAAGTAATAATGAGTTTGATTTAACTAGTTTTAACTTTTTCCTTGCATCATAATTTAAATTATTATTTTTTTGTAATTATAATTAATCATCTGAAATTTTATTATTTAGTTGGTTATTGCATTTATTTATTAGATAAATGATTATGGGTGTATATTCTATCGTTTAGATGAATGGTTAGGATTGTTTGATTAAATTATTTATTTATTTACTCATTATTTGTGAGAATGTAATTAATTACTAGTCGGATATTTTTAGAGGAGATGTAATTAATTAGTTGTAGGTTATTTTAAAAGTAGTTTTAATTAATTAGTTGCAAGTTTGTTTATTATTTGGGATGTAATTACTTTCTCCTCCCTCATTTTTTTGTAAGTTTAATTAGTCGTTGTGGGTTTAATTTATTTTATATTTGTGATTAAGCCATATCAATGTGAAAAAATAATCTTCTGATTTTCAGAATTAAAATGTTTTCAAAAAGATTTTTGTTAAGAATTAGGTTTAAAAATTAAAATCAACTCTTACCTAGATAAACCAATAAATTAGAGGTCGGTGCCATGGCCGGGTGGGCTCAAATCAACTCTTACCTAGATAAACCAATAAATTAGAGGTCGGTGCCATGGCCGGGTGGGCTCAGGTGCCTAACACCTTCCCAAGCCCACACTTAACTTCTTTATACAAACTGTAGTTGTCACCTAGTGATAAGTGCATATACAATCTGATAATAAATTCAAGTTCGTATCTCCCTTCCCCTATAATAAAAAAAATTGTTTATTATATTATAATTTGAATATTGAAATTCTCATGGCTACCTTACTTCCATCAAAATACTTGAAAATTAAAAATAAAATATATTACCATGAGAAATATTAATCTTACAATCCAAATAAAATTTAAACATGTATTAATAAAATAAAAATAAAAGGGAGGAAGAAGAGAGAAAAGGAAGAGTAGGCACACCAAAAGATGCGACACGAAAAGAGTATGCAGTGAGCTTTATATTTCTGCAAAACAAGTTATTAATTTTGGTTATAAGTTTAGCAATTTATAGAAATTCCATTGCTAACCCGTTTGTAAAACCCTTCAATTGTTAGCAATCGAAAGAGAATGAAATAGGTTTTGTTAATAAAAATCAATGTAGGTTGTAATTTTAGAAACGGAAAGAGATCCGTTGCTAACCCATTTGTAGACCCTTTGTCAACTCTTAGCAACAAGAAAAGAATGAAACGAAAAAAAGAATGAAATAATATTTGCCAATTAATAAAAAATAATCTGATTAAGGAAATTAATATAACTAATATAATTAAAAATTATTATATAATTTTAATCCATCAATAAAATTAAAATTTTCTTAATTAGAATAGGATTAAATTATTTTTAGTGATATTTTTAATCAACCGATAAAATATTAATAAAATTAACAATTTTCTAATTAGAATAGAACTAAATTATCCTTAATTTTTCTAATTAGAATAGAACTAAATTATCCTTAATAATGTTTTTAACCGATAGTTAAAATTAAAAATCTATAGAGGCCCTTTAAGAACCTAATGTCCCCCCTCCTCTCAACCATTCATACTTTTTTAAGTTTACACGGCTATGAGTGAGATAGATACAACAACAAAAGAATTTGTCAAGTTTATATGGTGTCTCGTCAAGTATGGCAATCGGGTAAAAACAAATCTATAAATTTATAACTCTAAACACAAACAAGAAGAATGGAGAGATTACTAAATTATAAGAAATATAAATAAAAATTATTCTATTAATTTGTAAAAAGAGAGAGTTAATACTTACTATAAGAAGAAAATATAATTGTAAACTTAATAATTTCAAATTAGCAAAAACTTGAAGTAATAATTCTTGATAATCAAAAGCAATTAAAACTAGAATAGCAAAAAACATATATATATATTTTTTTTTTGGCCATTCGTATTTTTATATATATTATAGATTATAAATAGATTATAGATAGATTTTTGCTGGCAAAGTTGGAATCCAGCTTCTGCATTACTAAAGAATATCTTCCTATTAGGCAACACTGCTTACACTAGTTAGCACCATTATTTGAAAACTTGAGAGAAATAACGTTTTTTAAAAAATTAATAATTCATTTTTGTGAAGGTATAGAAGTGAAATTGGAGCGAGGGAAATAGGATTGACCACGTGAAAAGAGCTAAAAAGCAAATAAAAGAGAAGAGTTGTCATTGATGAATTTTTCTTGCTATGTCTTGGCAATGGATGATTCTCAAACGGTGGCAGATTTAGAAAAAAAAAAAATTATAATCTTCTGAAAAAGGAGTCAAAGACAAAAAATTACTTAATTCTTCTGAAAAAAAGGGAGTCAAAAGACATAAAACAAATTGAATTTAATGAATTAATTAGACATATATATATATATTATATTATATATATATATATATATATATATAAAGTCATATATTGATATAAAGTCAATAATTGACCCCTCGTTTTAGAAGGTGGATCCCCCATTGTTCTCAAATCATGTAGTTGTTTTCCTTTTAATTTAAAAAGCAAAAAAGAAAGAAGGAAATTAACAACTTCAAGATTGTGCTTCAATTCAAATAAAAATAAACAAACCTTTTATATTTTTGAATTTGGATAGCCTTAATTGAATTTGGATAGCCTTGATTGCATTTAAAAATGTTCAAACTTCGATTTTGTAACACTAAACCGCAATTTAACATTCATTTCCATTCATCGGAAAGCCTACTGTACAACACATGGACATTTTTCTTATTTTCACTGAAAATGTCTCTCCTCCAGCTTAGATTTATCTCTCTTTCTCACACATTTTTCATTTTATCTCTCTTCTTTTTTGTTCCCTTTCTCTCAAATTTTTCTCCTTTCTCTTTTATTATCCAGTAACATGGATTATATAAGAAATAAGCATCCAAAATTTAGATTTCTCTTTTATTATCCAGTAACATGGATTATATAAGAAATAAGCATCCAAAATTTAGATAGAACCCTTGACTAGATTTTTCAAGTTATTACCGATTAAAAAAAAAAAGCATATTATATATCTAGCAAAAATAAACTTAAAAGAGAAGAAACTAAGTTTTGATAGCAAACCCAGCCCAAATAGTTAGGAAGAAAAAAATAATTTTACTTAATTATGGGTGGAAAAGCTAAATTATATATATATATTAATTTTTTTTATTTTATTTTGAGGAGGGCCACAGCCCCTTGGCCCGGCCGGCCCTGCCCTGCATCCGTCTCCACATCTAAAACCAAACAGCCCGTTTAATCAATCAGGAAACCTAAAAAAATAAATGAGACCAAGTCTGTTTTTTAGTGGTGTTAATTTGACTGAAATTAAAAAATCTATATGTGATGTGATGTAAGATTTCAGAGAACATAAGTGAAATTAAATCGGTGAAAGGACATTTTATCGTCCGGTGTGTTAAAAAATCTCTACAAAAAGGGAAGAGCCGGTTATAAACTGATAGAAATAAAAAAGATTGGCGTCGTCCGGACTCGAACCGGAGACCTTCAGTGTGTTAGACTGACGTGATAACCAACTACACCACGACACCGGTGACGATTTAGCTGAATGAAATTATAATAGAAATAGAATGAGAATGAATAAATACGTTGCTTGCTTCTTTCTTCCAACTAAATTATATTTTTTTCGCATAAATATTTTTATTTTTTATAATTATTTAAAAATAATATTCCAATAAATATTACATATTTAAAAAAATATCTAGCGTACATTATAATATATAAAAACAATTATAGCTTTAATGATCATTTTAAGCAACTGCTACTAAAACATCAGCAGACACCAACATTCATTCATTTGCAACCACTATGAAACAGCCCCGACAAAACACACATCTCCCCAAAAAAAAAATAAATAAAAAAAAACAAAAACAACGCAATTTAGCATTTCTAGTACCGTTAGATCCGAGTGGATTTGAACCACCAACCTCTCAAAACCCTGGTCAGGGCATTGAGCGCTCTACCATTTTGAGCTTACAGATCTTCATAACATCACCAGAGTGATCTCGAAATATGCGACTTAACTTGGTTTTCGCTTCAAAAAAGAAACTATACAATAGAGCTAAAATCAAGACATTAGTTGCAAATTTATAACCAATCTGTCTGTTCCCAAAAAGTAATTAATTAATTCTATATTTCAGACATTAAAATTTCAAAATAAAAAAATAAAAAAAAAATTTCTACTTTTAATCCATACTAATAGAAACTACTTCAAAAACCGAAATGAAAAATGTCAAATCACTAATTTTGCGTAAATAAATTCAACTCTCCTTATTTTCAGACAAATCTATTATAATTGTCCTAAATTTATTTTAAAAAATATTATAGAACAAAACTATTCAACTTCAAATTAATGGATAATTTTGTAAAATTAAAAAATAATAAAAAAAGCTCAAACCAAGTGAAAAATAAATAAATCTATTAATTTTTATATGCATACATAAAATAATAATACGCTTAGAATTCAAACCCTTCATTAAATAAAAAAAAGATTCTAGTAGGTCAACAATTATTAATAAATTAAATACTTAGATAAATTAACCATACAATTTTTGCTTAAATATTTTTCCATATTGATTAGATTGCATTTTTATAAAATAAAACAAAGATTCTAGTAGCGTCAACAATTATTAATAATTAAGATGACTTTAGATAAATTAACCATAACAATTTTTGCTTAAATATTTTGTCCATATTGATTTATGATTGCATTTTTATTAAAAAAAAATAATTTATTAATTATAAATACAAATATTAATTATAAATACAAAATTTACTACCAGAAAAAAAAAAGGTAATCCCAGAACCAGACGTTCAATCTAATCTGATTTTTACTTTTGCTTCAAATAAATCAAGAAATCGCCTTCCAAAGGCTGAAAGTAAATTTCGGGCATCCTAAGGTTCAGGAGATATAGCGGGAGAACTTTGGAAGACGGCAAGTAAAATTCGGACAAAACCACCTTTGATGTCGGCAAGATTTCCACATTACGATACAGATCCTATTAAATACTAAGTCCTAAAATCTAATTCCCAGAAACAACAGACATCCATTCTTCCAGTAAACATTAGAAATCCCACGAAAGAGAAACATTGCCATGCAAATATTTCAGATTAAGATGTTTAAGTCGACACATTTGGAAAAGATATTTAAGACTAGGTTAAGCAAGCCATTAGTAAAAGACGAGGAAAAAGAGTAGATGAGAGCTGATTTTTTCACAGTATGTGCATCAGGTTTTGGTTTAAGCATAGAGTTAAAACGACCCTATTTGCCGCTGGGCTTTGTTAGAGACATTTATAGAACATACATTACCCAATACAGACCCTTTATATGTTTTCATGAGCCTGTAGACACCTTTATATGTTTTCATGAGCCTGTACAAGTTAAATATGACATTAAAATAAAGGACAAATGCACAAAAAGAAACTCCTTGTAGAAGCTGAAATTATCATCATAATGAGCTCAAAAGGGCAACCTTAAATAACATTGTAACGCTAAAGAACTATTATAACTAACTAATGTTCCATTCGGAATTTTGCAAAATCTACTTATTTCTGCAATGAAAAAAAAAGAAATCACAGGACTTAATTTATCCCTCGGAGATGAGTTATTTATGGCCGTTCTGCACTTGGAATCCAGATCAACTACCCTTCCTCCAAAAACCATTTGATGCCTATAGCAAATAGCAATCATCTCCACGATCAAGCAGCAGCATGCGAACAGACCACAGAGGCTTTCCATACACCAAACCACTTCTTAGCCCATCAAAACCAACAAATTACCAAGCACTAGTATTTAAAACACTATATTGCGTAATAACGTCAGTAACATTAATGACTTACAAAACCAACAAATTACCAAGCACTAGTATTTAAAACACTATATTGCGTAATAACGTCAGTAACATTAATGACTTACAAAACCAACAAATTACCAAGCACTAGTATTTAAAACACTATATTGCGTAATAACGTCAGTAACATTAATGACTTACAAAACCAACAAATTACCAAGCACTAAGTTGTAAATTGACAACCACACGATCTTCCAACAGGCGATGATATTAGAAGAAATTTTTTACACTGCCACTGTAGTGGATTTATTTCAATTTACACATGCTTGGATAGACAATATTATAAATGCATAATAATAAGAAAACTAATTGTGAAACATGGACATCGTAATTACTTTTGCAATGGTGGTGTTGTAGTGTGTGTGTATAAATATATATATATATATATATATATATATAGAATATATGTGACAGACCAACAAAACATTATATGAAAGCGACTTATGGCTCAAGTGAAACCAAATGTAATACACGACAATACCCTTCTGGCTTGAAATAAAAAATACCTACAACTATTTCTGCAAATATTAAACGCATTCCCTTTTTACCTTAGGCACAGTTACGCTGTTACGACGACCTCCACTAAATAAGAAATAACTGCCAATGTAAGATCAGAAACATACAAAGGTCGGCTTTAGTTATTGTCCTCTCGACCAGCAAAGAAGCATTCCCAGTAACATTTTAGGAATATATTCATGATGCTCATAACGCTTATTATAACAAATTCATATATCAAAGAATATTAGAGATACCTGTTCAATTCCAAATGCCGAGGAGTTGTGAATTGTTGAGCAACTTGATAAAACGTTTGCGTTGATTTTGAGCGGCCTGATAGCCGTTTTTCCGAGATGGATATGTTTTATGGTTGGGGGATAAAGATGAAAAAGACAGACAAAAACACGCAAAGACGCAAGGAGAGGAGAACCCGGGCAAATCCCTGTGCGATCTCCTCTCAAAAGCACAAAAGAGTAATTTTTATTAAGTACTTGGTGACCTGCCATGCAAGCGCACCTGCCATGGAAAAGGTCCGATGACAAAGATATCAACCAAAGAATTAAAGCCCCCTCCATCAATCAAGCAATATATGGGCTTCTCGTCCTGATATATCTTCTACATCCAGAGACATGAATATAAACATATATATATGTGGAGATATATATTTTTCCGCCTCCTAACATCTGATCAAAACGTCTGCTACAAAAACCACACATGAATTACAGGCAGACGCACTGATCTTGGCCGAGCGGATCCTTAAGGTGACAGGTCCTTTTACACCACCTGCAACAGCTACCAAAGAAAAAGGAATAGACACTTTCAATGGCTTTTTCATGACCCGAACCTGAAGCCACACAACCCACAATAAGACACGAAAAGGCGTAAATAGTAGTTTCAGATCCTTCTTGCTAATCACCAAAACAAGAAAACCATACCAGTCAGAAGATCAATTCAATGGACAGTTCGAAGTTGCAAGCTACACGACCATTCCATTACAAGATCTATTCAGAAATACATATTCACAACATGTCTAGTAACAATATTGTGGAAATATAACTAGCATATGAAGGAAAGCTGAGAGATCTATTATTACACAAACCTGATATCTACACGTCCCTATTTGAGTCAAGCCCTGAAACCACCATCTGAAAATAGATCGGAAAACGATCCATTCAACAGCGAAAGCCACAATCCTTGAGAAGAAGCCATTAAGAGGAGATCTGAACCAGAAAAGTTAGGCAGAGCTTGTAGAAAGAGAAGGAAAGAAATACGATAAGATATGGAAGAGAAGGTGTGGCTGTAATATCATTATATAGCGGCAGTGAAGAAATGGACGAACATGATTAATAGACGTTTGGAAAAATCGATGGATAAGAAACAACCAACGTGGCTGAGTTGTCGGCTTGTTTGTTGCCTTATTTGACATAGGCGGTGGTACAAAAATGAACGGCCCTACATTGAAAGGCATGAGCTGGCTACCAGATAATGTTCGATTACCGTTACGTTTACGCATGTTTGACTAGTCAAACACGGCTTATGTCAGTTTTTTTATGGCTTAATTTCACTTGATGGTCACGTTACCGATTACAGTTACCGATTACATTAGCGATCCTAATTTCTAATTTGTTACTATATTAACTTTAATTGAGGCTTCAGTGAAAGGAATGAGGAAGAAATTTTGGGTTCAAATCTTATTAAACACATCTATAGAGAAGGACAAAGAGCTTTAATTGTGATTAAATTTAAGTTAAATTTAATCGTCCCTTATAATAGAATCCAAAAAATAGTGATTTACACAAATTTTAATTGATGTTTCAATAAAAGGAATCTATTAGGTTTTCTATTAGAGAATTAACGAAATGCTGACGTGCAAATGAGAATGATTGTGGTAGTAAAAAGTAAACTACATCAGTTCTGTCTAATCAACTTCTTGACTCCAAATCATCCTCTCCTATTTTCTCTATTGCCTTATTATCCCTTCGATCGTCGTTCTAAAAAAAGCATTAATTTGATTAAATTTTACTTTTTTGTAATCCATTCTTGTGAGACTGAATATTGTATTTCTCCTATTCACACATGGACAAAAGTATTCAAGCCTAATAGACATGGAGACCAGAGCAAAGTTCTTTTTCGACAGCTCTCAAAGTTAGAATCCGATAACTTTTTCTTATTATTCATTGCTCGGAGTTTAATACGATCATCATGTTAAATTTTTTTGAGGTTGTTGTATGTTCCTGCAGATTACTTTTTAGACTCCTTGGATTCTATCAAGGTCGCCGTTGTATATTGAGCGGTATTGAATTGCATTGGTTGTTGAAGAAATCACAGAAGTTGCATCCATACTAGGGTGTTCCTTGGAGGATTAAGAAAGAGGAAGAAATCATGTTATTATATATAAGAAAACCCTTAGTGTTATGACCTATTTCTCTAGGCCCAAACTCAGTTACTAAGATATGGGGTAGTTTAAAATCTCCCAACCCCCAGTCAACTTAACATATTCACTGCAAGGATACGATAAAAACTCATTCATACTACATTGGCCCTAAAGATTCACTTTTCAGCAATTCAAGCAATATATGTAATAATGCAATAATTAATAAATATAGGACTATTCAACCCAAATCTAATTTCTCAATTCCATGTCATGATGTACCTATTTAACAATTCACATTATTACTAATACTTCAAATATTACAAGTCATATATATTACAATCGTAGAAATTCTAATAACTTTTTACAGTCTAACAAGATATGGATTCCCAAGGGAAAATTCCTAGCAAATTTTGATAGAAAATCAACGCTATGGTTGGCTTTTCTATATAGATGAGAAATATTACAGTTCCATCACTGTGCATGAGGTTCTTGATAGCAATAACCAACTGAAAAACACCACCATTTGAGATCAAATTACCTCTACAAGTTGGACAACAATAGAGTTATCACACTCTATTATGAGGTACTAAGTTTCTAAGCTTTAAGTCATCTTAAGCCTCTTTACATAGCCCAAAGTTTTGCCTCCAGTACTGAATAAGTACCAACTCTAGTAACAAAGCCTTGAATCCATATACTTGTGTAGTCACTTAGTAAACCACCTTCACAGGTTAGGCTATCCATAAGAGAATCATTTGTGTTGAGTTTGTAAAAAAGGCAAAGAAGAAGGAGACCAAGAAATCCATAACTCTTTTTTTTTAGCAGAATTATTACTTGGGTTTGAAACCACCATATCAACCATGAAAAAATCCTTAGCAGAAGAGAGGATGTCAAGCACCACCATCGTGATTAGCGAGAGCTCACTATTAAAACCCTTAAATTCTGATGCTTCCATAACTTCCAGCAAGCCACACAAAAAATAATGGCCCAAAGCGTCCCAGAACTGTGGATTACTTTGCTTTTCAAATTGTTAAGGAACCAAATATTAAACGGGATCACAGGGTCATAGAAAGAAACCATATTGGAGCTTAAATACCAGCCCATACTTGACTAACATAAACACAATATCTAAAACCATAGTGATAGGTCTCATACATACGTATGCACATCATACAATATGGCTCTCCATTTAGATATCTTTTCATTCGTTCAACATTGGTTAGAAGCTTATTATGAAAAGTTTAACCACAGAAATAGTCGAATCTGCTGAGATCCATGCCAACGCCAAATAAAAGACCCAAATAAAAGACCAATCCCCAAGACTTTCAATGTTAATATGCATGTTAACCATTAATAGGCAAATTTGAATGAAAATTGGCTTGAGCTCATGAAACGCCAACAAATCTAATTAGGACCATGTCCAATAGATGGAGGAAGACAACAATTATACAAGTGAGAATTGAATTCGAAAGAAAAGAGGAAATTCTAAGTCAATTCCAATTCCTATTCTCAAGATAATCAGCAATACAATCATCCATAAGATCAATAGGAACTTCTAGTATAGCCACCTCGTAAAGAATCACACCCTCTATGAGCCAGTGATACTGCCAAAACTTGACTGAGAGACCATTGCCTACCGAGTACATTAGATCCTAAAGCATCGTCCAAGTATCAATAATATCATTAGCAAGAAGGGAAGCTTTCTAAGGAGTATTAGCCTACGGAACCTGATAGGTCTTATATTTTATAGTTTAATTTTTATTAGGATTTTTAAGCATTTTAATTACTTAGATTAATTTTGTTTAGATTTATTTGATGTTTTAATTTTTATGTTTTTAATTAAGTTTTCTTGATTCTTGATAAGCTTGATTTGAAGGGTTTTTAGCAGGAAAATAGCCAAAATTTGCATCAAAGAAGGTTGGAGTCGAAAAATGAAGATTAAAAGCTCAACATGACCAAGTCAGTAAAAAACACGTGTCTCCAAGAAAGCTGAAAATTCAAGTAGACTGAATTTAATTGTTTAGCCCTTGTAGATTTGAAGCCTAAGCGTGCTTATGCATGGAGCTACATGGGAATGATAGAAGACTTACCTTGTTTGAGTTCCGGCCCTATTTTATGAAAAGAGGACTCCTAATTAGGAAGAAATATTATTTGAGTAGGAAATTTTAAGAAATACAACACAAAATAAATTTCCTACTCAAATAATATTTCTTCCTAATTAGGCCAACTAGTTTCCTACTTGAATTTGAAGACACCTACGAAGTTTATATAAAGAGAGATCACTACAACAATTCGGAGCGTGGGGAATTTGGAAGCTTGGATCTTAGATCTTTGTTCTACTTTTCTCTTAGTTTTCTTTTTTTTAAGACTTTAAGCATTCAAGTTTGTGTAAAGAATCAAGGAAGCCATCCACGCTATTCGTTGACTAGTTTTTATATCTAAACTCATAATCTTGTTTCTAATTTTCATTATTCATATTGCCTATGAAATTATTTTCAAGTTTAATTGATTTGTTCGAGCTTAAACTTTTATGCTGGAAAAATTTGATGTAGCTTTAATTTATATTCCAATTTATAATATTAGATTTGGTTTTCCTCGTTCAAGGTATAATTTATTATTGAACTTAATGCTTTAAAGTAGAGTTTCTAACATGGATTGATTTATTTCATTAATCACTATTGGGAGAAGGGATTTTGATATGAAAAATGTAATAAACTACATGGAATAATAACTTGATGCATAAGCTATATGGTTTAACTCATGGGAGGTTTTCATATGGTTAACGACCTTATGTTATGAATTCATAAACAAACCGTAAAACATAATAATTAGATTGGGTTAAAATAGCTAATAATACATCAAGAGAGCTTATTAGTAACTTTAGAGTTGTTTCTTCTACTTGAACAATTAAAATTAATTATCAGACTAATAAAATAAATTGGATAGAATGAAGTGAAATCAAAATCCTTAGTAGCTTTTAATCCTTAATTTCTTTTCATAGATCTTGTTTGATTTCTTATTGCTTTCGTTTATTTCTTTTATTTTTCAATCTATTCTCTTTATTGTCATTTAAATAATAGTAGGTTACACAATTTTGGTTATTTGATATACAATCTTCGTGGGCGATACTCTACCGCTCTTTTCTACTTTATTTGCGATTTCTGCTGTTTGCGAATTTGCCCTTTGTTGTTTTGGCGTCGTTGCCGGGGATTGCTTACGCGAATATCAATTTTACTAATTACCCTATGATTAATTAACATTTTATTTTGTCTGGTTACTAAATTTGCTCTTTTTAATTTTAATTTCTCTTTTACAAGAAATTTCAGGTGTTTTATGCAAAGAAGATCTCTTAGTTTTGGACCTTTGATTTTTTTACCCAGAAATTGAAAGGACTTGCCGAAGAAACAAGGATGCGAGAAGAGAACGAGAGCATGAACAAATAAGACGAAAACATGGCTCTCGAAGAAGTGGAATTAGAGGATTTACTATTGCAAGAAGAACAACAAGTTTTGTAACATCAGCTCAATCGAGATAATCAAAGGTCCCAACCTCCTATTCGCACCTTGTAAGATTACACAACTTCTTCTCTTAATGGGGCCACTTCAAGTATCACCAGATCTAGGGTGGAAGCTAATAATTTTGAGATCCAGCCTATAATTATGCTATCCACCTCAATTTAGTATGGAGGCTTGCCTAGTGAAGATCCCAATGCCCACATCATAAATTTTTTGGAGATTTGTGATACTTTCAAGCAAAACAGAGTTTCTGAAGATGCCATAAGATTGAGACTATTTCCCTTCACTCTAAGGGATATTCTTGGTTACAATCATGCCCTGCTGGAAGTTTCATTACTTGAGAGGAACCAACCTGAAAATTTTTTAGCAAAATTCTTTCCATCTTCAAGACTACAAAGCTTAGCAATGAGATAATAACCTTTGCCTACCATGATCAAGAGAGTTTGTATGAAGCTTGAGAGAGATTGAAAGACCTATTGAGGAAGTGTCCACACCATAACTTACCCAAGTGGTTGCAGGTACAAACTTTCTATTATGCATTGTCTCATAACACGAAGATCACTTTAGATACTGCTGCTGGAGGTTCTTTCGAAAGGAAGGGGATTGATGAGGCATATGATTTCATAGAAGAGATGACGAGCCCATTACCAAAATACCTTCGAAAGGAAGAAGCCTGTAGAAATTTATGAGATTTATGCCATCACCGCATTGAATGCCAAAGTAGACAATATGGTAAAGAAATGAAATTTGTTGACCACTAACTCTGTTAATTCTATTGTATAAGCATGTGACAGGAGTAATGGACAAGATGGAGTCGGAGAATACATGTTGGATAATCTCAATCCTCAAACTTTGGAGCAAGTCAACTACGTGATGAATCAAGGAAGGAATATTCGAACCTCTTATAATAGCAGGTGTTGAAATCATCCTAATCTTCTTATGGAAATTGTAAACAATGCCCTTGACAATGCCTTGAATGCACTACCAGGTTTTCATCCTCAAGAGAAAAAGCCTCATGATGATCTCCTCACTACTCTCTCTAAATCTCACATGGATTTCATGAATGGAACTCGGGAGAATCATAGGATACAATAAGAGAATCATAGGGTCCAACAAGCTACGATAAGGAATTTGGAGATTCAAATGGAACAATTTGCAAACATGATGGCTTCTAGACCTCAACCTAGTAACACTGAGAAAAATCCTAAAGAACAGGTACATGCTATCACTTTGAGGAATAGGTAGTAATTGGAGTATCCACCTAGAAAGGAGGTAGATAAGTAAGAAGAGGAAAAGAGGAAGATCCCCATTATTGATCTTGAAGAGAAAGAGGAAGTCAAGCAACTATCCATTTTCCACAAAGGCTAAAGCAATCATAAGATGATAAAAGTTTCTTTAAATTTCTTGATGTCTTTAAAAAGATCTAAATAAACATCCCTTTTGCTGAATCTCTTGCTCAAACGCCCAGCTGTGCAAAGTTCTTGAAGGATATCCTTTCCAAGAAGAGGAAGATTGATGATCAAGGAACGGTAATGTTGACGGAGGAGTGTAGTGCAATCATTCAAAATAAATTGCCTCCAAACTTAAGATCTAGGAAGTTTTTCTATCCCTTGCATTGCAATATGTGGAAATCTTGACTTTTAAGAAAGGATTTTGAAAAAGCTTTGGCTGATTTAGGTGCAAGTATTAATCTTATATCCTATGAGGTTTTCAAGATGTTAGGAATGGGTGAGCTCAAACCTACAAGGATGGCTCTACAACTAGCGGATCGATTGATTAAATATTGATGGGATATTGTAGAGGATGTGCTCGTCAAAATAGGTAAGTTTATTTTTCCTGTTGAGTTTGTTATTATTGAAATAGACAAAGATAAAGAAGGATCACTTATCATTGGTCGACCTTTCCTCGCAACTGTAAGAGCCTTAATTGATGTCTATGAAGGTAAGCTAACCTTAGGGGTAGGTCAAGAGGAGGTTGTTTCTAATGTTCTTAAAGATTGTAAGTATCCTATGGATTATAGTGATTGTTTTAGAGTTGATGTTATTGATGATTGTGCAAAAAACACCTTGCATGTTAAAGAAAAATTGGACATTGATAAAGGTGACATAACCATTAACATTCAAGGCATCAAAGATGAGGAAAAGGGCGAACTACCCAAGCAAGAACTCAAACAACTCCCTCCTGTTGGCTCAAGGGTCAAATTCTAATCTCGGAATTTTGATGATTAAAACAAAAAAAATAAATTTAAATTATATTATTTGTGCTAATAATATTTCTGCAATCGAGCACCAAAGGAGATTAAATCCAAACATGAAGGAAATATTAAAAGTTGAAATCATGAAGCTTTTGGATGTTGATATTATCTATCCAATCTCAGATAGTAGTTGGTTCAAGTTGTTCCAAAGAAAGGAGGTATGACAATTATTTCTAACAAGAATAATGAATTGATTCCTACTAGAACTGTCACAGGTTGGCGTGTGTGTATCGATTATCGAAAGTTGAACAAAGCAACATGCAAAGATCACTTTCTATTACCTTTAATTAATCAAATGCTTGAAAGACTTGCAGGTTACCCTTACTATTACTTTCTAGATGGTTTTCAGGGTATTTTTAAATACCTATAGCTCCCGAGGATCAAGAAAAGGTCACATTCACTTGCCTTTATGGTACTTTTGCTTATAGGAGAATGCCTTTTAGGTTGTGCAATGCTCTTGCGACTTTTCAAAGGTGCATGATGTCCATATTGGATGATTTCTCTGTTTTGGTTCTTCTTTTGATTCTTGTCTTTATAACCTGTTGCGTCTCTTTTGAATTCCCGCAAGTATACGGATCGCAACGTAGTAATAAAAAGATCGATCCCATGAGGAACGAGTTAAGTCCACTTTTACTACTTTATTCTTAATTTTATGTTTACATTTTATGTTTACAGAAATTCAAATGTGAAATGATTGATCTATATTTCTAGTTATGTTAAAACTGATTAATTCTTAATTCTATAGATAAGTGTGTAGTAGCATACTTAGAAAAATTGATCGTGCACAGGATTTTCTTCTTCTATATCAAAGCATGTAACATACAATAAATAATTCTTTAATCACATACAGTAAAATATAATCCAACCTCTCGGTATAGAATTATTCTATCTATTATATGTATTTCTACTTATAATAAATATCTTATCTTGTTAAATATTAAACCTAGTGCTTATTCTTTGATTTTTCAATAAGATAGATTAATTTTGACAAAACAACGTGAAGACATGCTATTAAATTTCAACTAAGTGATTTTATTCTTATAATCTTACAAACTATTTTTTGAGAGATAAACTTGATTAAATAAAGATCAAAAGATAAGTTAAAGAACTTTTATTGAATGAAACCAATTGATATTGTTGCTTTGTATAGAAAAGTAATGAAGACAACATACAACAAGTCTTAAAAAAAACAAGAGAAAGAAGTAATCAAACTTAAGCCTCCGGAGGGCGCACACCTCGAGGAACTTCTTGATGTTCTTGGCATAAACAATAATAAGTGACTCTCATCAACTTACTTCTAAATACTACAATCACACTTTCCTATTACTAGTGTTTTTTCTCTCTTTACACTTAATATCTGAATCTCAATCTAATTCTGGATCTAGATGTTTTCTTCCTTCACTTGGATTGCTATTTACAGAAGAGGAGAATGATGTTGGTTATGATGGTGATTGGTTGGCCAAGAGGTGCTTCAAGTGACTTCTCTTGGGAAGAGTCCCAACCTATGCATGGGAAGACGAAGACATGATTTTCTGATGAAAAGGGCAGCAATTTAACATTCCTGGACACACCACGACTCGCGCTCGCGAGGTTCAAGGTCGCGCTCGCAACTTGTGCTTTATAACTCTCTGCCTCTCTTGAGTGCTTCTCGCGCTCGTGCAGATGAATGTCGCGCTCGCGATCTTTACCTGTAAACTCTCTGACTCTCTGGAGAGCTTCTCGCGCTCGCGCAGCTGAATGTCGCGCTCGTGACTGATGTTTTGATGCCTTTTGAATCCTCTGGTATATGAGTTGCGTGCGCGACTGCAGGTAGCGCTCGCGACTTTATCATTTCTTCTTTTCCAACGCGACATCATTCGCGTCGCGAAGTTTCCTAGGTGAATTCTTCCATACTTAGTCAACTTTTTGGTCCTCTTTTTCTATAAAAGCAAGCCTTTTCATTCCTTTGCTTAAATTGTATTCCTACAATTCACTTTAAAACAACACGAGCAAACGTAAAATGTATAAAAACAACATACAATCATGCAAATTATATGAAAATAACATAACAAAATTTGCCCGCTTTGCGAGGCTATCGTAACCTCTCTCTAGTGATGTAGTGATGTGAGAATACCAACCTTGTTCTAAATTAGGAAAAATGCCATTTTATGGTTAGTGAAGACATTGTTTTAGGTAATAAAATTTCCAAGAAGGGAATTGAGGTAGACAAAGCCAAAATCGATGTAATTGAAAAACTACCTCCTCCAAATTCAGTGAAGGAGGTAAGAAGTTTTCTTGGCTATGCAGGTTTCTATAGAAGATTTATCAAGGGCTTCTAAAAAATCACAAAATATATTTGTAATTTATTGGTTAAAGATGTTCCGTTTGATTTTAATGAAGAGTGTTTAGTTGCTTTTAACAGTTTGAAGAATGAATTGATTCAGCTCTTATTATTGCAACATTGGATTGGAGCTTACCTTTTGAACTCATGTGTGATGCTAGTGATCATACCATAGGAGCTGTCCTTGGGCAAATGAAAGAAAAGAAATTAAATGTCATTTATTATACAAGTCTTACATTGAATGATGCATAATTAAACTATGCCACAATCGAAAGGAGCTTCTAGCTATTGATTTTGCTTTTGATAAATTTAGTGCATATTTAATTGGAGCTAAAACTATAGTCTATATTGATCATTCGACAATTAAATATTTGTTAGACAAAAAAGATGCAAAGCCTAGATTAATTCGTTGGGTTTTTCTTTTATAGGAATTTGATTTGGAGATTCTTTGATTTGGAGATTCGAGACAAGAAGGGAACCGAGAACCTTGTAGCTGATCACTTGTCAAGGCTTGAGTTGGGGGAAGAAAGCCTGGAAGAGATACAAATTAATGAAGACTTCCGCCATGAACATCTTGTTCTCATAGCAAGTTTACAAGCTCTATAGTATGTATATATAGTCAATTATCTTGCTTGCAAGATTACTCCTCCTAATTTTTTTTATCAACAAAAGAAAAAAATTCTTTCATGTTCATGATCTTATATATTACTATTGGTAGGGGTGGCCACGGTTTTGGAACCGGCGGTTCCGATTCCAAAAAAACAGGAACCGGAATCGAATCGAAAAGTTTCGGTTTCGGTTCCAGTTCCGGTTTGGAACCCAACGGTTCCGGTTCCGATACGGTGACCAAACCGACAGTTCCGATCGATTTTCCGGCGAATCGCATCATTTTAAATTTTAAATTTTAAAGACGGGTTTTAAAAAAAAA